GAAAAAAGTTGTAATAGAAAAGAGTGTATAGAGAGTACTAGTACAAGTCTTTGTATACCCAAAGCCTAGCCCTTTCGAGCCTAAACATCCTGACATATATAATATAGTTCAACACTCGTGTGTAAAATAAAAAAATAAAAACCAAAAAATTGTGCTACGTGCATGCACGATCAAAATCGGAGGGGTTGATAAAGAGCTGTTGATGCGCAGGGTTGTTGTTTTGATAACGTTGCGACTTGATCCAATGCGTATGACAGTACGTACAGTCAATGAATACTTTTGCAATTGGAACAACGAGTGGAAAAGGGTGTCCTCACTTCTCATGTGATAAGTAATTATTAGCTTGCAGAATTTCACACGAATGGTCGGACATCAAACTCTCAAAAAAGAAGAAATCTAAATCCTAATAGATTCTTAGATGAGCTAGGGTCATATTAACTCTAAGCAATATGCGAGTGGCGTGTTTAGGTTTGATATATTATGGAATGAGTATAGGTCCCCTATGGATTATATATTATTTACGGCAGAAGTTTCATGTGGGAGCGCTTGCGTAATTTTCTGGTCGTTTATATTGCCCAAACGCGTAAACCTTATTATCATACCCGTAAAGCTACCATTTTTTATGACAATTGTCAAGGGCCTATTTTCTTACGCACTGCATATTCCCCCGATTGACTCTTTCATAAAAATGATCTCAGGAGCAATCGGCCTGATGCGATCGATCACCTCTGAGAGACTGCTTCGCCGTTCTGATGGAAACCTCGATCTCGCCGCCATGGCTGCCTGACGCCAGCCTGGAACTCACATTGCGTGAAGCCTATTTGTCAGTTGGCTTTAATCTTATCAGCAACGTAATCGCTACAGCAAGACGAAGAGGAACATATACGTTTTGTGTTCATCAGGCGAACATTTTATTTTCCTCTAACTGGTGCGTTACGCTGGTCAAGCAGACAAAGCCCAAGGTTAACGTGTGGTTCCCAGGGTTATGCGTCATCACAAGGCTACCAGCTAAGCTATCATCAATTGGCTCTCTGAATTCTACATTGATATATCAAGATGACCCTGAAGTTATCACAACAGCTCTGCAACATCTATGTCAGGAGCAATCGGCTAAGGCTTTGGCAAGATTTCTATTTAACAGTGATGTGCTCAGACTACCGGCTCATTGCTCTCAACAACTCTATTTCTCAGAGTTTCGGTCGGCTTCCTGTCATCATCGCACGATGCCTCCTAAGAACTCTCGTAAGGCAGTGGCTGACGCTGCCTTGGTCAACCCTGCTGGTGGTCCTGATCCTGCGAGCAAGTCAACGCCAAGCAAGCGGTCAGTTGTGGGCATTAATCTACCGTCTGAAGCGGAAGTTACCGCTGGGAGCTCAGGCCTTTCTGTCGAGGAGAAGCTGAAAGCGTTGGCCACGGTTGCTGCTGACGACTCATTCATCGAAGATGACTCTGATGAGGAGCTGGAGATTGACACGAGCAAAGGAATCTCCCCTCACCTGCGGTCGACGGTGATTCTGCTTTTTCCAGTGATACTGTCGCATGAAGTCGCTTCTGTTATTCTAACTGTGCGGACGCTTATGAAGCGTGTTTGGGCAAACCTGCTTTCTGATGACGTCTTGGCCACGGTGAAGTTTCAGGAGCTGCTTCCCGCGTTAGTTGCCAAGACCCGCTATAGTCGTCTCCAAGTGTCATTCCTGCGAGAGACCGACGCAATGAAAGCAGACGTCGGTGGATCATAAGCGTCCAAACGGAACTACGATTCACTGCTTCTGGCTGCACCAGGAGGATCCGGCTGTTGAGAAGAACTAGGCAAGAATGAATGAAAGGAGAGAGGTTTCACTAGCAGCAGTTGGGGTACATATAGCAAACCCTAACTGGGTTGTACTCGCTATAGAGCACCCCACTACAGGCTAGACAATAATAACATTCTGACACACCCCCATAGCCAAAGTGGGGTGTAATCAGTACAATGAGCAGGCATAGTAATAGTTCACAATTATAAGTACAGCTAGAGGTGATCACAGAGGGCAAATGAGGAGGAGGAGAGACTGTGAGGGCGAGAAGATGAAAGGCGCTGACTGAAGCTGCAGACACACGGGCAACAGGAGCGGCGCGCACAGAGGCTACCGAGCGCACGAGGGCACCGGACTACGGGAGTATCTGGCTCTGCGGCTACGACGAGCACACACAGGAGCAACGGACCCACAGGCGACTGGCGAAGCAGGCTCGCTGGGCTACCGAAACGCGCGAGGGCATCCGGACTACTGGCGCTGCTGGCGTCACGACGGCTACCTCCACGCAACCTCCCCCGACCGTCCCACGCCCCTCTCACACACCCCCTGCTGCACCCCTAGCTCCACTCCCACGTCACCCCCCTTAAACCCTAAACCCTCGGCTCCCACACACCCACCCCCCTCAGCGGCAGCTGCAGCAGTGGGAGACGGAGGAGGAGGAGCTGCAGGTTACCCACACCGGTCACCCCCATGCCCGCCACCCCCAAACCCTAACGCAGGCAGGAGCGCAGGAAGCAGCAGGGGCGGGGCACGGAGGGAAAGGGAGGCGGCGGGGTGGCTCCTGGGCGCCACGAAGAAGCAGGGCGCGGGCCCCCCGAGGGCGCCACGGCGGGTGACGGGAGGGGGGCCGCGCACGGGCCCCCGAGGGCGGCTCGACGGGCGACGGGAGGGGCCGCGCGCGGGCCCCCAAGGCGCCGCGACGAGGCGACGGGAGGGGGGGGACGCGCGGGCCCCCAAGGCGCCGCGACGAGGCGACGGGAGGGGGCGGCGCGCGGGCCCCCAGGGCGCCGCGACGAGGCGACGGGAGGAGGGCGACGCGCGGGCCCCCAGGGCGCCGCGACGGGCAGAAAACCGCCGCGCGCCTCGGGGCGCACGGCGGGCAGAAAACCCTAAAAATTTCGCCGCGCGCTCCGCGCGCGGCAGGAAGAAGGCGGCGCGCGCCCGAGGCGCGCGAGAAGCAGAACAGCAGCGGAAGCAGTTAGGTGGCGGGCCCACCCACAGGATCGACCCAAGGGGGTCGACCTGCTCTGATAGCATGTTGAGAAGAACTAGGCAAGAATGAATGAAAGGAGAGAGGTTTCACTAGCAGCAGTTGGGGTACATATAGCAAACCCTAACTGGGTTGTACTCGCTATAGAGCACCCCACTACAGGCTAGACAATAATAACATTCTGACACCGGCTTACCTGCGTATGAAGGCGACAAGTCCGCAGATGCTGGATGTGTATTTCAAAGGTGTTCCCGCTGACATTCCACCAGAGCTGGTTCTGGAGGTGACGGTGAAGCATCCGCTCAAGATCCGGAAGCAGTCGGCCTTCAGCAAAGGCCACTGTTTCCACCGCGTCCTTCATCCGGTGACCGGCGCTGACACGGACAAGATCAAAGGGCTGGTTGTTCCGCACGTTGGCGACAAGCACCGCTGGCGTCACGAATATCGTCATCAGCTGCTGGGTGGCACGACTCTGCTGGCCCACTTCCCCCTGCTATCCTGCTCGCTCTGTGGTGGCCACCATTATGACAAGTTTCATAATGTGTTCGTCATGGAACGTCAGAATAACATAGGGAAGTGGAGTTTGACAGTGGGTCGGGTGCATAGGATTAACGGTAACTGTACTTCCTGGATTTGCAGTCGTTTATTGTACTCACCGTCGTCGGTCGCTAACGCCGCGTCTGTCCCTCACAGCTGCTTCTCTCTGCGCTTCTCCGCTTGTTACCCCGCTTCTGCTGGACGCGGCCTTTGTTCTCATCTCCACTGGAAGCAACCGGGAGGAGTGGCTGTGCACCCAGGAAAGCTGTGGGAAAGCTCATGGCAAGACCTTCATGGCTGCTGCGGATCATGTTACATCGGCGAGTCACCTGTTGGGTCTGGAAAAGCTGGGGGTGGCCACGCGTGCTTCGCTGGAGAAGCTGAGCCTGCACGTCATCCGCAAAGACTATGGAATCTGAGGTCGGAGTCTGCTCACCTGAAGAGGAGTTGTGTGGCTGTCGCTGTTGCTTGTTCTTGTGTAGTAGTATCCTGTATCACCAGCCTGTGGATGCAATGGGGCCTTCAAGCAGTGGTTAAATGAGTACAAAGATCTTATTGTCATTTGCAGGCCTGAATGCCAACGGCCTGGGGGATGGTAACAAGCAACATCGTACAAAGAACTGGTTGAAGCAGGCAGCAGACATCATCGTACTGTCGGACTCTAGGCTCGCTGATGATCACCCTTACTGGAACTCGCTTAAGCAACCGCAGATCCTGATCGCCTCACCTACCGCTAAAGCCGGCGGGGTTGCTTTGATCTGTCGGAGGCACGGACTGTCACAGCATAACACCCTCATTCACTCATCTGGTCGGCTGATAGCGGCTGAAGTTCGACTTGACACTTTTCACATCACCTTGGTTGCGGTCTATTTCCCGGCTGATGTTGCTGAGCGTAAGGCATTCATCCGCAGAGTGTTGGGTCCAGTGGTTGACACGGTGCGGCCGGGATCTCATCTGCTCATTATGGGGGACTTCAATCTTGTAGGGGTCTGTTAGATAGGACATCACGGAAGGGGTCCACGAAAGAGAATGAGGAGCTGTACCGTCGTTGCGGCGCCTTCTGCCTCTCGGATGCTTTTAGAATGCTACATCCGTACAAGAGGGAATTCACCTTCTACTCCTGCGCCAATCAGTCCAGTTCACGTATAGAAAGAGCACTTATCTCGCAATCGTTGCTGGCGCATGTCGAGTTCGTCTCACACATTATGCCGGCTGACCCCATCTCTGACCACAGCTTTGCAGTGAAGGCGGCTTTCAGGTTGAACACGTGGGTGCAGCTGGGCCCGGGGCTCTGAAGGCTTCCTGCATACATGTTGGACAGACCGGGGGTCAGAAAGGTGATCGAAGCCGTAGAGCGGCAAGCGGACTCATATGGGGATGGTTTTGAGCTTCTAATCTCCCGCCTTAATACTGCTCTACGAGCTTACGCGAAAGAGGAGTGGAAGAGGGTCCGGGCTACGATGGTCCACCTTCAGCGGTCGGTTGCGGAGCTAAAGCATGCGTGGCTGGGTGACCCGGGGTGCGCTCGGCTAAAAACCTTGCTGGACGAAAGAGAGGCGCAGTTGAAGAGTGGCAGGAGCGTCTTCATGAAATGGCTGGGGTGAAGGAAGAGGTCATGGGTGAAGTGGCCTCCCCGCACCTGTCGGCAAAAATTAAAGCCAGAAAGGGGCGGACGCAGATTACAGAGTTAAACGCAGGCGGGAAGCTGGTGAACGACAACGAAGCTATCCTGAGAGTCGCGTCACAGTATTATAAGGAGCTGTTCGGAAGTGACAGACAGCAGGCCGTGTCTGCTTGGTCTCCTGCTCCCGGGAGGTCTCTGTCGCAGAAGTCAGCGGAAGCAGTGTGCGCGGCCTGGTCGGAGGAAGAGGTGAAAGCTGCTTTCCGTTCGATGGCGAAGAACAAGGCTCCCCGGAAAGATGGGTTGCCGAAGGAGCTGTTCGAGTTCCACTGGGATATCTTGGGCAAACATTTCATGAAGCTGGTCGACAGTTTCGCGGCTACGGCGACGCTGCCGACGAGTACAAAGGACGCTGTTACCATCCTGCTGCACAAAAAAGGGGGGAGGGATCAGCTTGAGAACTATAGACCCATCACTCTTCTGAGCTTCACCTACAAAGTGATCGCGAGGGTGGTGGCAGACAGGATGAAAAGGGTGTTGCATGAAGTCATCTCTCCGGAGCAGTACGGTTTCTTGCCTGGCAGAAGGCTGTCGGACGTGGTGGGCTTGGTTGCGGATGTTATCGAGGCCGCGAAGAACAAGGACCTTGACTTGTATCTTCTGCTGGTCAACTTTAAGAAAGCTTTCGACTCGGTCTCGAGGAACTTCCTGTTCACGGTGCTCGAGCGGATGGGTTTTCCCAGCCGTCTCGTGGACTGGGTTAGGGGCCTGCACAAGGATACATGGACCAGTCTGTTAATCAACGGCTGGATGGGGGAAGCGGTTGACGTGATGTCTGGGGTGCGGCAGGGATGTCCGCTTGCACCCTACCTATTCCTGTGCGCGGTGGAACCGTTGGCACAGCAGGCGGCTGCTAAAAAACTTGGTCTTGAAAAGGGGGAGCAGTGGCTGGCGTATCTGGGGTATGCTGACGACACGACTTTAGTCCTGCAAGGAGAAGAACAGATTGCGGAAGCAGAGCGGCTGTTAGCAGACTTCGAGGCAGAGTCAGGGCTAGCAACGAGCATAGAGAAGTCATCCATCTTACCCCTGGGGTGTAACCTGAACAAACAAGCCTGCAAGACGGACGGTTTCAAGTGGGTAAAGGCAGACGAAGCGGAGAGACTCCTAGGCGTGTGGGTGACGCCGACCGGCAGCTGCGCTCCCACCTGGGAAAAAGCTTTCGCGCGGATCAAGGATAAGCTGAGACAATGGGAGACGCAGCATCTCACCACAGGTGCCAGGGTAGCGGTAATCAACTGCTACATCTCACCTATAATTTTCTTCCAAGCGCAGGTGTACCTGCCGCCGGTGGATATTTGGGGGAGGATTTTGAAGCTGTCGCACAACTTTGTATCAGGCAACCACGCGGTCACTGATAAGAAATTCATACTGTGGAGTCGGGACCTACTGTATACGGCCAGGGTTGATGGCGGTGTGGGGGTGAGGGACCCGAAAATAGAGCTCATTTGTCTCGCAGCCAGGCGCATTGGACTGTTGCTCACCGAGACGAGTGAACTGAAGGGGGACATTATGCTCGCAGCGGCGGACCTGCCGCTGGGGACGGACACCTTCATCGCTCACGTGAAGCTTCTGAAGTGCTGGCGTGGGAAAAGCGAGAGATGGAAGCTGGCCTGCGGGAGCTTTATGCAGTCGCCGCTGATTGATTCACTACCGGCCTTAACGAAAGAAGAAATCATAGCAGAGCGGATTGTTTTTAACCGCAACATCCTGCTCAACGGCAGGACACCAGTGGGAGGTCAGAAGGCTGCGGCGAAGCTGTGGGAGCTCCGGCTGGGTGATCTTTTGCTACCGGATGGCGCGGGGGGACGAAAGGTCAAAGAAGTGAAAACCTTGACAAGGGAGCTGGGAGGGTCTAAGCAAGCTAAGCTGGCACTACGGGCTTGGGAAGCGGTGCCACAGACCTGGAAGGAGAGCCTACCGTCTGCCGAGCAACTGTTACCTCCGCCTATGGCTCCCCGCCTTCAGAAATCGGCACTGTTCAAGGATGGGCAGGTGGCGTCGTTGAAAGAGCTGAAGGGATGTTGGAAGGGGCAGAAGCGTCAATCCACTAAGAGGGAGCTCTGGGCGGGCAGTTGGACTGAGGAAACTGAGTGGAAGAAAGTTATCAAAGTTCGGGACTCACTGGTGACACCGAACAGGCCGCGCGACGTGTTGCTTAGGATTCACAGCCTCAACCTGCAAGTGGGGGAGAGGCTCTCTTTTCTAAGTGGCAGGCCGGTCTGCCCGCACTGTGGGGAATTTGAAACCTTGGAGCACTGCCTTTTCAGCTGCCCGCGCATCCAGCAGGTGGTGGTGGCAGTCAAGCGGTCCATGCGCATGCTGAACCCTGCGAGGCAAGTGTCGGACCTGGGGGACCTGTTGTTCGGGAAGGCAGCATCGACCTCAGCGTTCCTCTCTGCGAGGCGACCCTCTCTGCAATTGCTGTTCACCAGGTCTGGGCGGAGCGTTGCGATTGTGTGTTTCGGGGGGAAAGATTCCGGTCTCGGCGGGTACTCAGACGCATCGAGGCAGCCTTTCGGCTGCATGTGAAAGTGTACACGCGAGCAATGGGAAAGAAGATTGGCAGCAGTGGTGGTTCGAAGGGACAAAGGGTAACTCATGCGCTGGCAGAGCAGGAGGATGGTTTGCTTGGCCGCATTCGCTGCATGACGGTGAAAGGTTGGAAGTGGACGCACAGTTTCGGCGCGCTTTGGAGCCTGGCAATGGGAGCTCTGCATCCGCCTTGCTGCGATCAGAAGTTGATCGTAGCCCAGGATCTACTCAGGAAGGTTCGCACGCAGTAAAGAAGTGTTGGTGGGCCCTTGACCTCAATAGCAGAGTGAATGTAAAATGCTTGAGATAATAAAAACATGCAAATACATCGATATGAATAAAAGTACAGGGAATACGAAACGACCTAACTAGCCATGTACTCTAAGGGGTACATTCCCTTATTCAAATACATCCCCAACCGTGCGGCGCGTACAGTTTCGTAACTGTTCCCGCCAAAACCATCCTGCCTGCAGCTGCCTGATGCAGTCTGCTCCGACGGTCCAGATGTGCTGTAACCGTCTGACGCTTCGATTCGATTCCAACCGTCTAACGCTTCGCGTTCATTCCCGATATTGTGTGCTTCTCTTGCTGCGGTGAGGAGTGCACAGTAATATCAAGTATTACTATTCGTAACACCCCCCTTCACTCCTGGCCGTAGCTCGACTTGACCTGCTTGACCACGCCGCTGAGTTCGGAACAGTGCTGATACTGCTGGCGTGGCAGTCGCTTCGTGAGGAAGTCTGCTGCCATGTCACCCGTCGGGCAGTAGGTCAAGTTGACCTTGCCCTTGTCCACCTCGTCCTTCACGAAGAAGTACCGCAGCGCAATGTGCTTGGTGCGGTTGACGAAACCAGGCTTGTTCGCGATGCGAATCGCGCTCTGGTTGTCGCAGTGAAGGCGGAGTGTTGGCGAAGCTGGAATTTTCGCCTCTTGCAGAAGTTCCTGCAGGTAGAGTCCTTCGCGAACTGCTGCAGTTGCTGCGATGAATTCCGCTTCGGCTGATGACAGGGCAACCAACTCCTGCTTCTGTGAATTCCAGGAGATTGGTCCCGATGGCTCGAGTCGGAACAGGAAGCCAGTCCTGGACCGTCGATTATCAGGATCTGCTGCGTGATCGGCGTCCACGTAGCCGACGAGGTTGAAGGATGGAGTTGGTGCAGTTGAGTAGCACAGCCCAATCTTGGGCGTTGAAACGAAGAATTGAAGGGCGCGCTGCAGGTCCAGGAGATTTTTAGCCGTTGGTTTGCGTGAGCACTGCGCAAGCTGGCTTGCGATGTACGAGAGTTCTGGCCTGCAGGTGACGGAGGCGAAGAGCAGGCATCCCAACTGCTGCTGGTAAGTCTGAATCCCAGCAGGGGATAGGGCTTTGTTGTCAGGTTTGTGGTTCGGTCCGGGGGTTCGGTAGGGAGTCGAGAGAGGTGCAGGTGGGATCTTGAACCACTTCCCTAACTCCTCTGCGTACTTAGCCGCTGAGAGGTGAATGGCCTCAGGTGCGTAGGAGATGTTGAGGCCTAGGAACTGCTTCACCTCGTAATTGCACGTGATGTCGACGCGCCCCGCCAGGGCCTTCTCGAACTGCTCGAGTAGCTCGTTGTTTGAGCCTGTGTAGAGCAGGTCGTCCACATACACCGCGAGGAGAATGTATTCGCCACGGAAATCGCGGCGGTACATTCCTGGGTCGTGCGGCATCTGCTTGAACCCGATTTCAAGCAGGATGTTGTGCAAGTACTGCTGCCACAGCCTCGGAGCCTGCTTGATGCCGTAGAGTGACTTGCGCAGCTGACACACGCGCGAGTCTCCTTCGCCGTAGGTGTGTGGCTGCTCCACGTAAATCACAGCATCCACCAGCGCGTACAGGAACGCGTTCTTCACGTCGATCTGGCGGAGTGGTAAGTGCCTTGCAGCTGCGATGGCGAGCAAGATGCGGACGGAGGTGTGGCGGCTGACTGGGGCGAATGTCTGGTCGAAGTCGATCCCGTGCCTCTGGTCGTAGCCGCGCACCACCCAGCGTGCCTTGAAGCGCTCGATCGTCCCATCCGCTGCGGTCTTCACGCGGAAGACCCACTTCCCCGAGAGCATCTTTGCGCCCTTGATTGCTGCTCGATCGACGAGTACCCAGGTGTCGCGTGACTCCAGTGCCTTGATTTCCGCGTCCATCGCCTCACGCCACTCCTTGCTGTGTGGTCCAGAAAGAGCTTCGCGCGGGTTTCGGGGCTCGATGATGCGCGGCGCCTTCGAGGTTGCGGTGTGAAGCCCGAGCAGTTGCAGTCCTGAGACGGTACTGTCGTGGCGACGCTGCGGGATGACTTCCTGCACGTCATCGTCGTCGCTCTCAGGTTCAGGTGGTGCTGGTGGTGCTGCGCCTCCGCCGCTTCCGCCCGTTCCGCTTCCGCCTGTTCCGCCTATTCCTCCTCCCGAGGAATCATCGTCGTCGTCGTCGCTGCTGTGCCGATCCTCCCAAGTGAATTCGGCCCTGGTGTCTTGCTCCAGAAGTGCTGCAGCGGCTTCGTCTTCGGGCGTTGCGTAGCTGTGCCCATTGTTCGCCTAGACGCGGTCTGCATTCCTCTGCTCGTCGTCACGGAACTGGTCGAGGAAGAGACGCTCGTAGAAAATTACGTCGCGAGCGTGAGCGGTTTTCTGACTGAGGAGGTCCAGCACGATCCATGCCTTGTACTCGTGACTGATGCCGAGATGGATCCCCCAGCGTGCGCGGCTGGCAAACTTGCCGATGGTTGAAGTCGGCGGGCGGTATTGGACCATACACCCCCATACGCGGAGCATGGAGGTATCCCCCTTGGTTCCTGTCCACTTGACGTGCGGGGACAGGTTGCCGGTGATTGCGGTGGTTGAAAGCAGGTTGTGCACCCGCACGGCGTGGTGCATCGCGTAGGTCCAGTAGATCGGCGGCAATTTCGACTGCTTCATCAGCGCGCGCACCTTCGTCATCAGCGTGCGGTTCGTCCGCTCAGCTACGCCCTGTTGCTGGTGTGCGTAGGGGAGAGAAATATGGTGCTCGATCCCCTTCTATGTCAGGAAGGTCTGCATCTGATTGCTCCTGAACTCTGCCGCGCCATCAGATTGCCAGATTTTGAGTTTCTTCCCAGATTGCCGCTCCGCATGCGCCAGCCAGAGCCGAAACACCTCGTAGGCTCTGTCGCGCGTCTCCACGTTCACGACCCATACATAGCGTGTTCCAGCGTCGATGAAGGTAAGAGTGTATAGCTCGTCCTCGACTCCGCAATGCCCCACGTTCAGGAAATCGCTGTACACCTTGTGCAGCTTGGGGTAGCGGTTCGTTCCAGGTTCGAGCAGCGGGAATGGTTGGTGGCTCAGCGCAGCTTCGGGGCAGACTGTGCAGTTGCGCGGATGCGTCGCGCCTCTCACTTCGGAGCCATCAGGGCGCAGGAGTGCGCCAGGAGCGAAGACGCCTGCGTCGATGCAGTTTTTCAGCGTTGCGCGAGAAGGGTGTCCGAGACGCTGGTGCCAGAGTGTGTCGTCAGCGCGAAAGCCGGAGGTGCGCATGTAGCGCGCGCGCGCTTCCTCAGGGTCTTCGTCAGGTACAGGAGCAGGTTCCGCTGCTACTTCCTCTGCTTCTTCTTCTTCTGCCGCGGTAGTCAGCATCAGCGCCAAGAACTCTCTGTCGCGAATTTCAGAGAGCGGGATGTTGGTCCCAGGGATGGTTCCAGGGACGAAGGTGGGTTCGCGTGGCTCAGGGGCAGGTCCGTAGACAGTGCGGCGCGGGGTTGACGGCTCGTTGCCCCAGACGATGGTGTCCCATGGGTCGCGCCGCGGGGGAATGTCTGCGGTAGGTGGTGCGAGTGGAATGTGGCGCGGGGGACGACCAAGAGGAACGACTGCAGGTGGTGCTTCCGTTTCTTCAGCTTCGTCCTCTTCCCCCCTTCGTTCTTCGCGGGAAGTGCCCCAGCCGCTATTGTCGGCGGTAGGTGCGGCGCCCCATCCGCCGCTCGCGTTGGCCCAGGTTCCGCCGGTATCTCCCCATCCGTTGGTGTCGCTCGCTCCCCATCCTCCAGCGCTCCCCCACCCCCCTTCATTGGAGGCACTCTCTTCCGCTTCGGCTCCCCATGCGCCGCAAGCGAAGGTCCCACGCGCCTCGGCGAGGCTTTGCTGGCGAAGCTCCTCGGCTTCGCGTTGCGCCAATTCTTCTTCTTGCTCCACGGTGAGCTTCACCGAGGGGTTGAGCCGGTGAGGGTAGGCCTTTCGGAATTCCTTGAGAGTGTAGGGGCGCGGAACTCTGCGTGAGTCCAAGTTCCACGCCGTTGTCCTCGCAGGATGTTCTCGAGTCGCTGGTAGGGAGGTCCAGCGTGGGGGCTTTGGTCGGTGCCGAACACACGGCGAGTAGCAGTTTCAAGCTCGAGCTGCGACATCCCTTCCTCTGGTGGCGCGTGCCGTTCTGCTTCAGCGATGGCGGCGAGTCCGCGGCCGGCAATCGCGCTCGTTGATGTCGTTGGCATGTGGCAATCCCTGCAGATGCCATCTGGATCGGGTTGTGCAACGCCGT